TAAAGATTCTCATCACTTCCACTTCTCTAGTCAATTCTCCCTTTGATGCCGAGACCAGCCTGAATGCATTCCTCTCCACAGCCTCCATCTTCAGGATGGGCAAGGATTAACCAGGTGTTCTGATATTGTTGAAAGATTCCCAATTCCAAGTTATCTTGACTCAAATCTGGCAGAGATCTGTTTCAAGCTGTAAATCCACTTGGCTGAGGGCTAGAAAGTATTCTCATAACCTGTATCTTTCCATTTCTCTCGTTTTCACCCATAATATCCTCAGTCATGCTTTCAAACTTATGCATACATTTTTCTATGCATTTTTTAAGGTCATTCTCCTGCTCTAACAGTTATTTACTTCCCTCACCCATGGGCAATTTTTCAGTCAGGCCTAGGACCACAGTGACTCCTTGATGTCTAGCCTCCTCCCCCAGCACAGAGGTTGGCAAACTCCTCCCTCCCTCTGCCTGGCTCCGCGGTTCTGCCCCACGGTTCTGCCCCACGGTTCTTCTATGAGCAAGTGAGGGGAATGCCTTGAGATAAATGCTTAATTTGTATTGCATCTGGAGTCGTACGCAGGCTGGAGTGCAGTGGCTCGAATATGGCCCACTGTGGGCTCAGGCGATTCTCCCACCTCAGTCTTTCCAGGAGCTAGGACTACAGGCACATGCCACCATGCCTGGCTAATTTTTCTTTTTTTAAGCAATGGGGTCTTGCTACATTGCCCAGGCTGGTCTTAAGTGATCCTCCTGCTTCAGCCTCCCAAAGCTCTGGGATTACAGGAGTAAGCCACCACACCTAGCCCTTGTATTGCATCTTTACAGCTCGAAGACTAATGCACAGTTGTTTATGCATAAAGATTCATCCTTTTCTACATGTTCTACATGTTTAGGAATGTTTTGACATCATGCATTGATTACCTACTATGTGCCAGACATTACGCATATTTTATCTCATTTAATCCTCATGACAACCCTACAAAGAAGGGTTACTCCCATCTTACAATTGAGAAAATGGACACAGAAGGGATGGAGCACTGGTTGCCCAAGAGAGGAAGGGCACAGCACTTACTCTGGGTTCTGAGCCCTACCTAGTGTGCTTCCATAGTCACCAAACCCTACTTTTCTAATCAGTCATCTTCATTGTCCTACCAAGCCACCACTCGGGTAAAAAGAATATGAAATCAAACAGCCTCCTCTAAATTCTTCCTGGAATAGGAAGGAAGACCACAGCTACTACCAACCTGCCCCAACCTCACATTAGGACCCAGAGAAGTAGTCACCTCCCCCTAAGGCAGGAAGGCCCATCCCTGGGGGGAGCCTGTCTTTAGTCCTAAAATGGTGAACTTCTTTTCTGAGGGATTCCCCTGCACCCTTCCTCCCCAGCCACAAAGCCCAGAGAAAAAGAGTGAGGAGCAGGGAAAGAAGACGGAAAACCCAAGATAATCTCCTCCTTACAGGATGATATAAAGTAACTGTAGGCAGACAGTTCAAAGGAAGCCCTAAAGGCAACTAGGAGAGATGGAGACAGAAGGGAAGTAAGGAAGAGCTCCCAGAAGAGTACAGTGCTCTCACAGAGGAGGAAGTGCCACGCAGCAGGAATGCAGGTAGATGGTCTGATGTCCCAGAGGCTCCTAGGATACTGCGTCCCACCCCACCTGAACAGTCATGGCCAAAACAACCTCCCCAATCTTGGAACATGTTCCCTCTGCCACACGGCTGCTAAGATCCAATGGTTATGGTCCCAGCAGTCCCCAATATCTGCTAAATGCTGGGCTGGTCTTAGGGTCTCATCCACTCTGGCAGTCTCTCAGGCACCTCTCAGCTTTTCAATTATGACAGAGACATGCCCGTTAAATGCAGTATACCCTAGACAGTGACTCTCTGGCATTCAGCTTTCATGGACCAAAAAAT